CTGCTGAACAGCCCAGCGGGGACGGCATCCTCATTGTTTGTGCACCCATCCCTCCTCTGGAGACTGAATTTTAGCAGTCTGGGATTAAATACCAATCTGGCCTGGGAGCCTGGAGCAGAGCCCAGCCTCCTGGTGCAACAGGAGGGCTCTGACCGCAAGGCTGCAGAGCCATGGTCTCCTTGGGCCGGGTCTGGGCAGCTCATATGGAGTCTTGTCCTGAAGGACCCGGCCACGGAGCTCCCATCCTCCGGCGAGGCTCTAACCACTTGGCTATTGCTCCCGTGCGGGCGGGCATGGACCATACAGACCTGCCGGTGCTGAGACCTTCCCCAGACCTGGCCTCAGGCCTGCATCATGGGGACACAGGACTTAGGGCAGCGGTGGCCCCGCAGGGACGGCGGACACAGATCGCGGATGGCAGTGGGCCCTGAGCCCTGCTCGGCGGCTCCAGCAGCCTTTGCAGGATGCACATGTCTTTTATATCAACATCTTCCACATCTTCTGGCCAACATGGAAAATATGAACTCTAACAAGGGCCAGGAACTAATTATACCCCAGTACCGGGAAGTGCTCAGGGACACTGGTGCTGGCCCTTGTCACTGGGGCCCTGCCCTTCCTCCTTGGCCTTGTGCACAGTCCTCCTCATGCAGCAAGACACCGAGAGCTGTCAAGGCACCACTGAAAGCTCAGGGCCGGCTGGGGGACGTGGTGACGCACTGGCAGGTCTGGCAGTGGCTGCACATGGCGGTCAGTCCTGTCCCCTACACTTCCCCAGTAAATTGTCTCTGGCTGTGCCCAGCAAGGGGCCACTGCTGACTGCCCTGGCTTCCTGGGATCCTTGGAGATGTCCAAGGCACCCCGATCCCCCTGGTCGGTGGGAGTTGGGGGGTCCAAATAGCTCAGGCATAATAACGATGGTCATCTCAGTGGGATGAGGGGTACTGCAGAGTGTCCCTGCCTGGTAGAGTCCAAAACTGTCCCCTTCATGGAGGTGACACGGTGGGGACAAACTCTGGCACATGCGTGGCCAAGCAGGCTATGAGTCAGCATTGGGGTTAGGAGCCAGGCAGGGATGTGGGTCCCAGCTGGCTTTGGGGCATCTTTGGGGACGATCTCATCTCAGTCTGGACATATCTGGAGTGCAGAGATCCAGGTCGGTGCCTGCCACGGTAGAGGGAAGGAGCTGTCACAGACCTCAGCTAGTATCACATCCACATGGATGCTCTCCCATGTCCTTGCTCAAGGTCACTGCCATGGAGAGGGTTCAGCCCAGGCTCCGCCTGCCCCTGCACCCAGGCCCAGGGGGCATCCTGGCACTATTGCTGCCCCGTGCCTTGGCCGTGGTGCACACCGAGGTGCTGCGAGAGGACTTGGTGGCCCGGAGCAGCAGTCTTGGCCCGGCGACATGCCCTGAGCAGATCTTTCCACCTCTCCCCTCCTGCTCTGTGGAGGCATCTGTAAGACCAGCCCGCAGCTATGCCCTGTGTGCACGGCCTGGGAACAGCAGGGTAAGAGCTGCGTGGCCCCCCTTTCTGAGCGAGGTTTAAAGCAATCCTGCCGGGTGCTGAGCACCCAGCACCCGTGCCCAGGGAGCAGGCAGGGGCCATCGGGCTAAGCCGTGGCCTGGCCGGCATCGCAACGCGTTCGTTCACCGGGTTTCTCTACTGACCCAGTAACTCCGAGTCTCCTCAAATATGAATTTCCAAAAGAGGATTCTCCGGCTTCCCTAATGAGCGGGGATGCCGAATGGGATGCTAATGAGATGCTAATGAGCAGGCACTAGGCAGCGCAGCTCCGGTGGGCGGCTGGAGCAGTCGGAGGAAAACCCCTCCTGTCTCTGGGCCGCGACGTGCGGCTAAGTTTCAGGTAGAAGCCAGCAGGACTCAGTGTAACCTAGTATGGCCCTTTCTCACATTAAAGGTGTGGATTTTGTTGATGCTTTTTAGTTAGAGCAGTTGAAACAAATGATCATCTGCCAATTTCTGCCAGTGACTTTAAGTCCAGCTAAATGCAAGTGTTGGTTCTCTTCAACTTTGGCATCTTTGCTGCCTATCATCCTACAGCCTCCAGCTGAACCCAGTTACCTGCTGGTCCCTGGTTGTGTTTCAGTGTAAGGCAACAAATATGAACTTAAATATTTCTGTACAGTGACTTAATATGACTTAATATACAGTGACTTAATACTTGCATCATCTATGTTAAAGTCCAGAAGACTAAATTAATACAAATATCAGTTCTCAGCACAGCACTGGTAAATGATGTCTGTCCAATGTCACAAAGATATGCTTCTAACACATTAGTTTTATTTGTTGCCTTGTTACATTTAAAGGGACCAGCAGTGTGTAGCAAAGTACTGACCAGCCCCACGGATAGGTTATCCTGTCCCAGCCTCAGCGACATCGCACATCAGCACCTCGGGGCGCTGGGTGCCTGGCACCCACCTCCTTCTTGAAGCACCCAGAGCACCAGGCGATGACAGAGGTTGCTCCGGGTCTGCAAAACCTCTGCTTGCAGCATCCTCCAGGTGGGCCGGGAGCTGCAAGGCTCGCAGGCTTCCCCTCTCCCAGGTCAGCATTGGCACGGGGGCAAATTTAACCCCCAGCTGCTATTGCTGGGGGGCTGCCAAGGGAGAGGAGACTCTTTGAGCAGGCTTGGAGCCACCTCCTTGCTTCCTGCTATCTCCTGCCCAGCCCAGGGCAACTTAGAGCCACCCGCGGGCTGCTCTAGTGCCTACGAGCCCTCCCCGAAGCATGGGGCAGAGCTGCGGGCCCCACGGCTTTGCAGTGCCAGCACCTCCTCCGGGCAGGGCCACGGAGCGTTTCAGAGCCGCTCTCGCCCTCGCGAAGCAGCCGTCCCCTCCACGCGGGGACGG